GTACCAGACTGATGTTACAACTGACTTGTGGAATGATAATTTTGTCAAAGTAGAACTGACTGAGATAATGAGACAAAAGGATGATGCACAGTTTGCTGAAGTATTGAATAGGTTACGAATCAGAAAGAGAAAGGAAAGCTTAGGAGCTGATGATAAGAGACTGTTACAATCACGTGAGACTGGAGAAGATTGGACCGATGCTGTGCATATTTATCCTTGCAATAAACAAGTGGATGAGTACAATACACAGACTCTCTTTACTAAGTGTTCAGATTGTGTATGTGTCCTTGCTAAAGATTTCCAGAAAGATGCAAAAAGTGGGAAAATGATATCAGTAGTGAAATCACTCAAGAAATCCTCAATGACTAATTTACCTGATTCTCTGTGGCTTGGTGTTGGTGCTAGAGTCATGCTTACAAGGAACCTTGATGTATCTGATGGACTTGTTAATGGAGTATTTGGAATTGTAAATGAAATTGTTATATTAGCTAACGATCGTGAACAGTCACCTAAGTTGATTAAAGTAAAATTTGACAATGAGAATATTGGATCAAAATTGAAACAAACTTCCTCAATTAATGATAGAGATGCTGTCGGTATTGAAATGGTTGAAGAAAACTTGAATAAACAGTGTGTCCGACATCAGTTTCCACTAAAGTTAGCTTGGGCATGTACAGCTCACAAGGTTCAGGGTATGAGTTTGGAAAAGGCAGTTGTAAGTTTGAACCATACATTTTCAGCAGGACAAGCTTATGTTAGTTTGAGTAGAGTTGTTTCACTGAATGGTCTTGTAATAGAATGGTTTGATGAGAAGTACATTTATTGTAATGAGGCAGTAGCTGAAGCAATGACTAAAATGGCATCGTATATTGAGGAGTCTGATGAAAAGGGAAGCACTAATGTAGGTGATGAAAATGTAATCAAGGGTGATGTTTGTTTTAGCACAAGTATTGCTATGCATAATATTCAAGGACTTCAGGCACATTTAATGGATTTAAAAGCTAATGATGAAATGTTGTTGTGTGATTTCATTTGCCTGACAGAAACATGGACTGACAGAAACTTTGAGTGTGATATGGATATGAGTAACTATAAATGGTATCATCAGCCAAGAAGTATGTCTTATGATAACTCTAGTCATGTGGCATGTATGTTAAAGGAACAGTGTCATGGCGGTGTAGCTGTTTGTGGCAAAAAGGACAGAGTGTTCAGTAGGATAAATTTGCCAATGAACAATCTTGAATACATTGCATTTCAGTTACATGAAAATTCAAACGAGTCATTACCAGTAGTTGTTGTTATAGTTTACCGACCACCATCATATACATTAAAGGAATTTATAAAGGTGCTTGAAATGTTGCTGAATGAGATACACCAGATTTCAAACAATTGCATTGTTATGGGCGATTTTAATGAAGACATCATGAAAAAAGAATCTTGTGTCAAGAAATTGATGGATGATCATGGATATAATCAGTGTGTTAGTGATACAACAACTGAAAAAGGCACTTTACTTGACCATGTTTATGTGAGAAATATAGATTGTATTGATGTTCAAATTAGTCCAACTTACTACAGCTACCACGAAGCAGTCATTATTCGGTTGTGACTTTGGTTATAAGTTGTATTTGGAGTGTTTTTAGTAATGCACATTGTGAATTTACAAGGAGACAAGAATATAAATATTTCAGCTGTGAATTGAAATGAAATTGTAAGAGAAAGAACTATTTGCATATAAACAAATGAAGCATTTTCATGGGAATAATAACAAAAGGATAAAACATGCAATACTAAACATGATGGATAAATAGTCGTGTAAACCAGAGTGATCAATAGTCAATAGTCGTGTAAACCAGACAGATCAATAGATGTGTAAACAGACGGATAAATAGTCCTGTAAACCAGAAGGATCAATAGTCGTGTAATGCAGACGGATCAATAGTCGTGTAAAGCAGCCAGATAAATAGTCGTGTAAACCAGACGGATCAATAGTCGTGTAAACCAGACGGATCAATAGTTGTGTAAACCAGACGGATCAATAGTCGTGTAAACCAGATGGATCAATAGTCGTGTAAACCAGAAGGATCAATAGTCGTGTAAAGCAGCCAGATAAATAGATGTGTAAACCAGACAGATCAATAGTCGTGTAAACCAGACGGATCAATAGTCGTGTAAAGCAGACAGATAAATAGTCGTGTAAACCAGAAGGATCAATAGTCGTGTATAGCAGACAGATCAATACTCGTGTAAACCAGACGGATCAATAGTCTTGTAAAGCAGACAGATCAATAGTCGTGTAAACAAGACGGATCAATAGTCGTGTAAACCAGACGGATCAATAGTCGTGTAAAGCAGCCGGATCAATAGTCGTGTAAAGCAGCCGGATCAATAGTCGTGTAAACTAGACGGATCAATAGTCGTGTAAACCAGACTGATCAATAGTCTTGTAAACCAGACGGATCAATAGTCGTGTAAAGAAGAAGGATCAATAGTCGTGTAAACCAGGCGGATCAATTGTCGTCTAAACCAGACGGATCAATAGTCGCATAAACTGGAAGGATGAATAGTCGAGTAAACCAGAAAGATAAATACTAGTACTCATGTAAACCAGAAGAATAAAATGTTGTGTAAACCAGTCTGTCTGCTCATCAGTAGATGATGACCATCACTCACAATGTCTGTTGAGTATCGTTGTCACATTCATAGCGGAGTGTGACTAGTGAGTTGGTTCATCGGTGGATGAAGATGATTACTCGCTTTAACTGTGGAGCATTGTTGTTACATTCATAGCTGAGTGTGACATCTCACGGAGTCCATCTGCTCATCATTTGATGATGAGGATTACTCACTATGACTGTGGAGCATCGTTGTCACATTCACAGCCGAGTGTGGCATTTCACCAGTCCTTCTGCTCATCAGTGGATGATGATGATTACTCACTATAACTGTGGAGCATCTTTGTCACATTCACAGCCGAGTGTGGCATTTCACCACGGAGTCCGTCTGCTCTTACATTTGTGTAAGTGGGTGATGATGATTACTCACTATAATTATGGAGCATCGTTGTCACATTCACAGCCAAGTGTGGCATTTCACCAGTCCTTCTGTTCATCGATGGATGATGATGATTACTCACTATAACTGTGGAGCATCTTTGTCACATTCACAACTGAGTGTGGCATTTCACCAGTCCTTCTGTTCATCGATGGATGATGATTACTCATATAACTGTGGAGCATCGTTGTCACATTCACAGCTGAGTGTGGCATTTCAGCAGTCCTTCTGTTCATCGATGGATGATGATGATTACTCACTATAACTGTGGAGCATCTTTGTCACATTCACAGCCGAGTGTGGTATTTCACCAGTCCTTCTGCTCATCAGTGGATGATGATGATTACTCACTATAACTGTGGAGCATCTTTGTCACATTCACAACTGAGTGTGGCATTTCACCAGTCCTTCTGTTCATCGATGGATGATGATTACTCATATAACTGTGGAGCATCGTTGTCACATTCACAGCTGAGTGTGGCATTTCACCAGTCCTTCTGTTCATCGGTGGTTGTTGACAATTACTCACTATAACTGTGGAGCATCTTTGTCACATTCACAGCCGAGTGTGGCATTTCACCAGTCCTTCTGTTCATCGATGGATGATGATGGTTACTCACTATAACTGTGGAGCATCTTTGTCACATTCACAACTGAGTGTGGCATTTCAGCAGTCCTTCTGTTCATCGGTGGTTGTTGACGATTACTCACTATAACTGTGGAGCATCTTTGTCACATTCACAGCCGAGTGTGGCATTTCACCAGTCCTTCTGTTCATCGACGGATGATGATGATTACTCACTATAACTGTGGAGCATCTTTGTCACATTCACAACTGAGTGTGGCATTTCAGCAGTCCTTCTGTTCATCGGTGGTTGTTGACGATTACTCACTATAACTGTGGAGCATCGTTGTCACATTCACAGCAGAGTGTGGCATTTCACCAGTCCTTCTGTTCATCGATGGATGATGATGATTACTCATATAACTGTGGTGCATCTTTGTCACATTCACAACTGAGTGTGGCATTTTACCAGTCCTTCTGTTCATTGGTGGTTGTAGACGATTACTCACTATAACTGTGGAGCATCGTTGTCACATTCACAACTGAGTGTGGCATTTTACCAGTCCTTCTGTTCATCGATGGATGATGATGATTACTCATATAACTGTGGAGCATCTTTGTCACATTCACAGCCGAGTGTGGCATTTCACCAGTCCTTCTGCTCATCAGTGGATGATGATGATTACTCACTATAACTGTGGAGCATCGTTGTCACATTCACAACTGAGCATGCTGAGTGTGGCATTTCACCAGTCCTTCTGTTCATCGATGGATGATGATGATTACTCACTATAACTTTGGAGCATCTTTGTCACATTCACAACTGAGTGTGGCATTTCAGCAGTCCTTCTGTTCATCGGTGGTTGTTGACGATTACTAACTATAACTGTGTAGCATCGTTGTCACATTCACAGCTGAGTGTGGCATTTGACCAGTCCTTCTGTTCACCGGTGCATGTTGACGATTACTCACTATAACTATGGAGCATCGTTGTCACATTCACAGCGGAGTAAGGCATTTCACCAGTCTTTCTGTTCATCAGTGGATGGTGATGATTACTTGCTATAACTGTGCTTATAACAAACAAAACTTTAGGTCCCAATCTTTGTTGTTCTTTGTATTCCTGTTTATTTTCATTAGTGTTAATAACAGGTGCCTGTTACATATGTATAACAAGGTAATTTGTATAGTGCGAAGGACCTTGCTATAAACTTGTGCAGCTCTGTCTTTGTCACTCTTTGTAAACAGAGTCCTTACTATTAGAAGAATCAACTGGTATGTTTGTTCACTTAATTTTTAATTTTACTGACAATAAATTTGTGTGGAAAATATGAAGTTTCAAAACTAATTTCAGTTTTTGTTTCATGTGTTCTGTGTGCAGAATTTGTGCATGTGTGGTGTAAACGTCATTGAAGAGAAGACAACCCTCTTGTTGGAAACTGACCATTGGAAATATTTGCACAGTTATGTTTTTAAAGGTAAGATACAATTAGCTGTAGCTGTGTATTAAATCATTCTACATCTATATATTTTTATTGACCGTGTAGTAAACAGCCATGCAACTTGCAGCAACTGATGTTCTCCGTTGACCTGTTTCAAATTGGTGCAAGTGTGATAAGGCAATTCTAAATACATGTAATATGGTTGAAAGTAGTTGGAGCATGGTTGTTGATAATGACCTGATCAGAAGGGAGAGCCTTTAACAGCAACCAGGTGCTTACTGAAACATAATATTTTATGAAAGAAGTGTCATCGAGCATGCACTCAATGGCCGATTTCCAGCAGGTCTTGTTCTTGACACTGGTATGTGCTGAAATCATCGATGATGTATTTACTGCATGTTCAGATCAGGCCACATTATAGGGTGTGCGTGAGCATTATATCCTCGTGTGTTCAGCATTCCACCTGATACAAGATTTCTACAGTGGCCGTCAAACACAGTTGGCATATGGTCCCTTTGGCTTGTATTGTCCGCATGTGCCACAGAGTGCAGTTTCAAAAACAAATCTTTTATCATAAATGACTGTTGTGTAAATTGCCAGTTCAGATCACCCAGGTCTTAGTCATATATGAGGAGGAACTTAATATCTTACAGGTTTACATTCAACTAGTTAAATATACACATTTAGTTCAATTTGTTTTGTTCTTCAGCCCATTTATAGCATTACTATGATGTGAAGGACAACTAATCATCTGTCAACCATGCCCGAGTTCAATCAGCCACCTCTTGCATCACTGTGATGTCACAGGCTACTAATCACAGTCTGTCATCCAAGCCCAAGTACTGTCAGTCATCTCTTGTACTGTACCACTATGTGTGAGGCTACATATCACCTGTCAACCTAGTCTTGAGCTCTGTCGGCCACATGTTGCATCACTGTATTTATTTAAATCCTGCTAATCACCTGCCATCCATCATGAATACTGTGAGCCATCACTTGCATCACCCGCCATTCAAGGCTGAGTTCTGTGAGTTACCTTGTGCATCACTATGATGTCAAAGGCTCTTATTACCCGCCATACATCACCAAGTTCTGCAAGTCACCTCGTTCATCACCGTGATGTCAAAGGCTACTAATCACTTGTCATCCAAGCCAAACTTCTCTATGTCACCTCTTACATAACTCAAATGTCAAATACTCAAATGCTTCTGATGACCAGGATGACTTGTCATCCAAGTACGAGTTCTGTGATGTCAAGACTGTATATTTGTTGTCCAAGCCTTTGTCTTGTCATCAAACTCTTGTATAAACATGTGATGGTAAAGGCTTTTATCAATTGTTCAACAGGCCTAATTTCTGTCAGCCACCTCATTTATCAGCATGATGTTAAACGCTTTTGATTTGTAATCCAATTTGGAGTACATCCTTACATTTAGTCCAGTGTATGTGTTGAAAATCATTTCACACTTGTAGAGTTTAACACTGTGAGGCTTCCAATGTCCACATTTTTCGTGGAATATGTCAGTTACACTGCAAAGTGCCATATCTGTGGTGTGTTCATTGATCATCATACAGATACTGTTGTATGACAGCTTTGAATATGGATGTTAATTTGTAAACTAAACAGTACATTTCCTTTGAGGGAAACATTTGGGAAAAGAAGCAGCTTATATTCATGTGTTTTCTAAATGCAACTTAGTCTAATCAAAACTTTTCATATAAAAGGTATAAGTTAATGTTCAGATATTTGTTCAACAAAAGCTGTGTACATCCAACATTGGAATATTGTTTTATTTGTTAATATATATTTATATACATTTGTTTGTATTTTTTTCTGTGGAAGTCAGAGGAAAATAAATATTAATTGAAATGAGTTGCACTTCCAGTGTCTATGCATATACATGTACGACTTTCTTCTAGGACCATCTGTGGGTGGTAGTCTAAGTGTGTTCCAAGTCTAACGTGGATCGCATTTACGAAAGTGCCAAAGTAGAGTGTTTTAAACGTGTAAAATGCATCTTTAATGTGACGTAACCTGAAACCTGATGACGTCACGATGACGACTTTCTTCTAGGACCATCTATGAGTAGTGGTCTAAGAGTGTACAAAGTATAAAGTTGATCGAATTTACGAAAGTGCCAAAGTGGAGCGTTTTAAAACGTGTACAAAACCAGTGGGGAAAATGTGCATCTTTAATGTGAAGTGACGTGACACCTGATGACGTCACAATCACGAATTTCTTCAAGGACCATCTGTGGGTGATGATCTAAGTGTGTACCAAGTGTAACGTCAATCTGATTTACGAAAGTGCCGAAAATCGAGCATTTTAAAACGTGTACAAACCCTATGGGGAAAAATGTATCTTTGATGTGACGTAACCTGACACCTGATAACGTCACGATCACGAATTTCGTCTAGGATTATTTGTGGGTAGTGGTCTAAATACGAATTAAGTTTAAAGTTGATCGGATTTTCGAAGACGCCAAACTGGAGTGTTTCAAAACGTGTACAAAACATATGGGGAAAAATGCATCTTTAATGTCACGTAACCTGACACCTGATGACGTCATGATCACAAATTTCTTCTAGGACCATCTGTGGGTGGTGGTCTAAGTATGTACCAAGTCTGAAATCAATCGGATTTAAAAAAGTGCCAAAGTGGACTGGTAGAATAAGCGTGTGTTAAACCTATGGAAAAAAAGGCTGAAAAAGGAGAAAAAAAAGAAAAAAAAAGAAAAAAAAAAATCTTAACGAAAACAAGAGCTGTTTCGGTGTGTACACCGAAACAGCTAAAAAAAAAATCTTAACGAAAACAAGAGCTGTTTCGGTGTGTCACCGAAACAGCTAACTAGAAATGTGTTTGTGGACAAACACAAGCTGTTTCGGATATTTGAAATACTCTGTGCACGTGATGAACACTTGATGAAGTCACTTCGAATGTCATCTGCCAAGTGAAAAGTCAATCAGACATACAGTGCCAAAGTACATGGTTTGAAGAAAAACGTGTACAAAACCTATGGGGAAAATGCATCTTTAATGTGAAGTAACCTTACACCTGATGATGTCACGATCACGAATTTTTTCTAGGACCATCTGTGGGTGGTAGTCTAAGTGTGTACAAAGTCTAATGTCGATCGGATGTACCAAAGTGCCAAAGTAGAATGTTTTAAAACGTGTACAAACCCTACGGGGAAAAATGCATCTTTAATGTGACGTAAACCAACACCTGATGACGTCACGATCACAAATTTGTTCTAGGACCATCTGTGGGTGATGGTCTAAGTGTGTGCCAAGTGTAAAGTCCATCGAATTTATGAAAGTGCCAAAGTGTAGTGTTTTATGAAAACGTGTACAAACCCTATGGGGAAAATGCATCTTTAATGTGACGTAACCTGACACCTGAGGATGTCACGGTCACGAATTTCTTCTAGGGCCATCTGTGGGTGATAATCTAAGTATGTATCAAGTTTGAGGTCGATCGGATTTACCAAGAGGCCAACGTGGAGTGTTATAAAACGTGTACAAAACATATGGGGGAAAATGCATCTATAATGTGACGTAACCCGACACCTGATGACGTCACGGTCACGAATTTCTTCTACAACCATCTGTGGGTGGTGGTCTAAGTATGTATCAAGTCTGAGGTCGATCGGATTGACGAAGAGGCCAAAGTGGAGTCTTTTAAAACGTGTACAAAACATATGGAGAAAAATGCATCTATAATGTGACGTAACCCGACACCTGATGACGTCACGGTCACAAATTTCCTCTAGGACCATCTGTGGGTGGTGGTCTAGGTATGTACCAAGTCTGAAATCGATCGGATTTAAAAAAGTGGCAAAGTGGACTGGCTGAAGAAACGTGTGTTAAACCTATGGAGAAAAAGTCTGAAAAAAAAAAAGAAAAAAAAAGAAAAAAAAAAATCTTAACGAAAACAAGAGCTGTTTCGGTGTGTCACCGAAACAGCTAAAAAAGAAAAAAAAAATCTTAACGAAAACAAGAGCTGTTTCGGTGTGTCACCGAAACAGCTAAAAAAAAGAAAAAAAAAAGAAAAAAAAAAATCTTAACGAAAACAAGAGCTGTTTCGGTGTGTTACCGAAACAGCTAACTATTGGAAAATGTAATTGTGCAATCAGAAGTATATCTATTGGCAGTCAGAGGTATATCTTTTGGAAAATGTAATCATAGAATCAGAAGTATATCTATTGGAAAATGTAATGGTATTATAGTTTATTGTAAAAATGTAATGGTACAATCAGAGGTATATCCGTTAAAAATGTAACCGTACATTCAGAAGTATAACTACACGTATTGGAAAATGTAATCGTACAATCAGAAGTACGTCTATTGGCAAATGTAATCACACAAGCAGAAGTATAACTATTGGAAAATGTATATTGGATAATATAATCGTACAGTCAGATGTTTATTTATTGGAAAATGTGATCGCACAATCAGAGGTATATCTGTTGAAAAATGTAACCGTACATTCAGAAGTATAACTACACGAATTGGAAAATGTAACCGTACAATCAGAAGTATGTCTATTGGCAAATGTAATCACACAAGCAGAAGTATAACTATTGGAAAATGTATATTGGATAATATAATCGTACAGTCAGATGTTTATTTATTGGAAAATGTTATCGCACAATCAGAGGTATATCTGTTGAAAAATGTAAACGTACAATCAGAGGTATAACTAGTGGAAAATGTAATCGTACAATCAGAAGTATATCTATTGGAAAATGTAATCACTCAAACAGAAGTATATCTATTGGAAATTGCAATCGTAGAATCAGAATATCTCTTGGAAAATGCAATCGTACAATGAGAAGTATATCTCAATAGCATATCTATTAAAAAAATGTAATCGCACATTTAGAGGTATATCTATTGGATAATATAATCGTACAGTCAGATGTATATTTATTGGAAAATGTGATCGCTCAATCAGAGATATATCTGTTGAAAAATGTAAACGTACAATCAGAAGTATAACTATTGTGAAATGTAATCGTACAATTAGAAATATATCTCTTGGAATATGTAATCGTAGAATCAGAAGTACATTGTATATCTATTGGAAAATGTAATCGAATGATCAGAAGTATATCTATTGGCAAATGTAATCACACAAGCCGAAGTATAACTGGTGGAAAATGTAATCGTACAATGAGAATATATCTGTTGGATAATATAATCGTACAGTCAGATGTATATCTGTTGGAAATTGTAATCGTACAGTCAGATGTATATCTGTTGGAAAATGTAATCGCACAATCAGGAGTATGTGTACTGGAAAAAGTAATCGTACAATCAGAGGTATATCTATTGGAAAATGTAACCGTACAATCAGAAGTATAACTATTGGAAAATGTAATCGTTCAATCAAAGGTATATCTATTGGCAGTCAGAGGTATATCTTTTGGAAATATATTCATAGAATCAGAAGTATATCTTTTGGAAAATGTAATCGTACAATCAGAGGTATATCTGTTAAAAATGTAACCGTACATTCAGAAGTATAACTACACGTATTGGAAAATGTTATAGTACAATCAGAAGTATATCTATTGGCAAATGTAATCACACAAGCAGAAGTATAACTATTGGAAAATGTATATTGGATAATATAATCGTACAGTCAGATGTATATCTATTGGAAAATGTGATCGCACAATCAGAGGTATATCTGTTGAAAAATGTAAACGTACAATCAGAAGTATAACTATTGGAAAATGTAATCGTACAATCAGAGGTAGATCTATTGGAAAATGTAATCACTCAAACAGAAGTATATTGATTGGAAATTGCAATCGTAGAATCAGAATATCTCTTGGAAAATGCAATCGTACAATGAGAAGTGTACCTCAATAGCCTATCTATTGAAGAAAAAAATGAAATCGCACATTCAGAGGTATATCTATTGGATAATGTAATCTTACAGTCAGATGTATATCTATTGGAAAATGTGATCGCTTAATCAGAGGTATATCTGTTGAAAAATGTAAACGTACAATCAGAAGTATAACTATTGTGAAATGTTATCGTACAATCAGAAGTATATCTATTGGATAATATAATCGTACAGTCAGATGTAAATCTATTGGAAAATGTAATCGTAGAATCAGAAGTATAGTAATGGAAAATGTAATCACACAAACAGAAGTATATCTATTGGAAAATGCAATCGAAGAATCAGAATATCTCTTGGAAAATGCAATCATACAATGAGAAGTATATCTATTGGAAAATGTAACCGCACAATTAATAGCATATCTATTGAAAAAAAATGTAATCGCACATTCAGAGGTATATCTATTGGAAAATGTAATCGCAAAATCAGAAGTATATCTATTGGAAACTGTAATCGCACAATCAGAAGTATGTGTACTGGAAAATGTAATCTTACAATCAGAAGCATATCCATTGGATGTTATCGTACAATCAGGAAATCTATTCGAAAATGTAATCGTACAATCAGAAGCATATCTCTTGGAAATATTGTAATAAAAATATTAAAATTTATTATAAATAAAGTTAAACTATTACAACTATTTAATAACACCGCTTAATAGTCTTTACAAAGTGATCACAGAGAATGTGTATACAATTGTGTAATACAAATTAAGGCTTGTGATTCGCTAACGAACACCCTTTTT